GTAAAGAAAATTCTGACAACTCATGTTGTTATGTTCCAAATATTAATATTAATTTACTTTTAATAATTGTCTAAATTCTTCCTCTAAAAAATATGATGTAACTAATTTAGAAAATAAAATTTTTTACATTTTTACAAGAAATTCAATTTTCAATTTAAATTTTTTTAATTAATGTCGAATTAATGTTATCTTTATTTTATTTTTTGAATTAATGTTATCTTTATTTATTTTTTCATAATATTTAGATGAAACTACAAATGCAACTGGGTTCACTTCTTCAAAAGATTGGATACGAGGAGGAATCTAATGACGACATGTTTATTAAATGTTTAAGACAAGAAGCTCTAAAATGGGCTTGTATTCTCGGTGACAGCAAATGCAAAAAACATGCTGAATATAAGTTGCAATGGCATTTGTCAAATACAACGTAATTATTAATTGTTCTATTATAATATTTTTACAATATTTGCAATACACGCCATACTTTAAATAAGAATATGTAAAACTGTAAATTATATTAATTTTATGATAAAATGTTTCAGAGAAAATAAACTATTACCATGGTGGAGGGAATGGACGTTCTGTAATGGGTTATCTGTATCTAGATCTATTTCTTTTGACAAACTATTTAAAGATTGGGATGAAATGTTGAAAATTAAAAAGACTACAAAATAATTAACGAGGAAATGCATGAATATTGATAATTTATTCAAAATTTCAAATTATAATTGTTCTCAATATTTGAAATTCTGTGAATACAATTAACAAAATAATTTAAATAACTGAGGTATTCTTAGAGAATTTTTGTGTGTAATATTAATTTAAATAATTATTTATCGTTTATCAATAAACCTTAATAATTACGAGTAATTCATTAATAATATAATTACCTATATAAGAAGACATTTTAAAAATTTTTACATTTAATTGCATTCTTCTTTATTTTTATGTTAATAAATTTTAAGAAAAATATTTCAATATACACTTTGTATTGTTAGCTTAATTTGTATTAAAATCAATTTTAATAATACATATTTAAGAACATAACAACAAAAAACAATGGTAAACTGAATTTAGTATAAATAATGACATGTTATATTTATACCTCCCACTGCTTATTATAATGTCCTTTATAAGTACCGATGTCTGTTGGCACGGTCATTACTTTGTTACAAACTGTCGAAGCAGAGGGATTCAGAAATTACATTATTTTCTATCACTTATAAACGGTAAATACAACTTGAACAAATTATTACAAATCATTTTAAATATCTTTAAGCCTACACAGTTATAATACATTAATTGATTAATACATTAATACATTAATACATTAATTTTAATACATTAATCAATAGTACAATATCTATATCTATCTATATATATTGTTAAATAAATATAATTTTTATAAAGATTGAAACGCATTTCAGAACGCAAGTATAGTTTACGTACAATCTCTTTTTTAAAATTATTATTACCATTACAAGTTTTTCTTAAGATAAGAAGTTTCACTTCACTTTGTTGTAGATGTGTCGATATGATATTACATATAATAATGAAACGATATGTTCTTATAACACTAATAAATAATTCTATTTCTTTCTCGAGGTAGTAGATATTAAAACAAACTTTTAATCAATATTAAAAGTTTGCGTATTGAATTTGAGAGAATCAATACGTGGCAAGTCCTAAAAATAACGGCACATTGATAACTTAATTACTTAAATTTAGATACACAAATTTAGATAGACAAATATATATGATATTTAAAACTTAAGAATCTACTTTCGAAAACAAGCTGTGGCTATTTTATTTAGTTATTTTTGTACTTTTCTGTTGTGATCATAAATCTACTAATAAAAAAAATCTTTAACTATGCTTTCATAGTTTTTACAAAAGTCAAATTTCGACGATATAATTTTACTTTTTTATTTTTATATTTTTGTTTCTTATAAAAAATACATTTCTGTAAATGAATATTTGTTTAGATGAATATTACTAAATTAATAAAATTGTTATTATATGGAAGTTTACTAAATTACGTTATGGCTCTATACCAACACAAAGAAAATGTATTTGACAAATTTAAAATAAATAACAAGCAAATAAACGGACCAAAAACAACGAGAACTAGAAGATCAGAAGTAATCAAAAACACTAAGGAAATTACATCCAACGCTACACACTCTTTCATATACCAAATGTCTCAAACCGTACGTGTTAGGCTTGTCAATCCTCGTTTGCCTGATTTTATAAAATTAAAAGAATACAATATTGAAGTAACATTAGAGACAGGACTGGATATCTTCTATGGAGAATGTCGAATTATGATTATGATTCTTAAAGCTACACAAAATATAAACCTGCATTCAGCAAATTTGGAAATAACAGAAGTCATATTAACTGGAAAAAATGGTAAATATGTAATAGTGGATAAAGCACGTGATATTTCGTATATACACGAACTGCAAATTGTCGTCTTGGATTTCTCTGAGGTTCTACGTCCTGGTAATTATACTTTGAGCATAACGTATAAAGGTGTTATTGCTAATGATGGAGGTTTTGTCAAGGTCTCATATATAAATAAGATAGGAGAAAAAAAGTGAGTAAGAAAACGTACACATCACATTAAAAATATTATGTAATAATGTCTAAAATGAGTTTACAATTTATATCTATTAAATACTGATAAATATTATATAATAAAAATTAAAAAGAGTCTCTGACCTAGTGAAAATTAACGATTCACAATGGTATAGGCGGTCTAATAAAGTTCTTTAAATATGTGAAAAATAATATGTTATAACTCTGTTAATGTTATAATATTTACAGAGTTTTAGAAAAAGCTTTGGTTTTGTTGCAAAATAGGTAGTCAGCTAAAGTAAACACTCTGCAAAAAGTTATGAAAATAACAACAAATATAAAGTGTTATTATTCCTTCCATAAAGATGTTTTATTAAATAAATTCTATATAAATATTATCCGCGTATATAAAATAGAATTTTTTAATACGAATCTTTATTATTTATAATGTGTATATATATATATGTGTATATATATGTATGTGTATATATGTATATATATATATATATATGTATATATATATATATATATATATATATATATATATATACGTATACTATAATA